CGAGGCAGCTGGGAGGACTCGCTCTTCGGCGCCCTTCGCCACACTCGGACTCCTGGAGGAACTCGCCTGCTGCGTGCCTCCCTGCTGCAGGTGTGTGTGTGTGTGTGTGTGTGTGTGTGTGTGTGTGTGTGTGTGTGTGTGTGTGTGTGTGTGTGTGTGTGTGTGTGTGTGTGTTGTGTGTGTGTTGAGTGTGTGTGTGTGTGTGTGTGTGTGTGTGTGTGTGTGTGTGTGTGTGTGTGTGTGTGTGCGTGTGTGTGAGTGTGCGTGCGTGCGTGTGAGTTTGTGTGTGTGTATGTGTGAGAGAGAGAGAGAGTGTGTGTGCGTGTATGTAGCCGAGACTAAAAACCCCAGAGGGCTTAGAAAAGGCACCTTTTCCTTTCTTCTATTTATTCCTGTATGCCCTTTACCACAGGTTATCACGTACCCATAAGGAATACAGAATAAAAACCTAAGTATAGCCTCTAATATTTAGTTCTTCGAGTGCGATATGTAGTCCTGACCTTTACTCCTGAATTCCAGCCCCACGCAGACGTCCCAACCATTAATGCGCGTCTAAATGCCCTTCAGTACCTGGTTGACAACCCCGACCTCTTCTACACGCTTCAGGTAAAAATGTATTATGTATAATTCTGTGTGATTTCAAGATTGTTGTACCTGTTGATAAACGTTTCCATGGAATTAAAGACGGTTGAACGACCGGATATCTTTACGTGAATCGTGATGTTTAGATTGAAGTGCGACATGTTTACAAATGCATTTTTTTACTGGTCTTTTACTGTCATTCCAGAGCATCTTGGGGAGGTTCCCAGACATTGATTGGCTTTTATCAATGTGCGCACAGCTTCATAAGGAGGTGAGGGTTTTTCGTTGTGTGTGTGTGTGTGTTTTATTGTGTTATGTAATGACAATAGCATATCTTTTTTTCTCTCTAGGATAGTAAGAGTAGCCCAAAATAGCTAGAATTAAAGGTTTATTGGCCCTACAATTTAGATCACGTTTTGTAAATCGAATTAAGTATTGAGCAAGAATACAAAATAAAAGAATTGAATCAGTCAAAGAGTAAAAATATTGGATCTACACGACGTCTAATTCGGCATCCTTGGCACTCATTTTATTCTACTTTTAACTCACGCTCTAAACAGGACACGGAGCAGCGTTGTGAGCTTCGTCTGAACTACGTAATCTCGCTGAAGAACACCCTGGAGCTCCTGGACCCCTTGGCCAGCACCCTCGCCGACGCCACCGACCCGCTCCTTGACTCCGTCAGGCAGGTAATTCCCCTCGATGAAGTCTATTTGCGATTGACTAACCTGTAGGCCGCGTTGGTACGTGTCGACTTTATTCATTATCCGACACTGAAACGGATACAGAATCATGAAAGAAAGACAAAAAAGAGTAAAACAGTGAAAGAAATGAACGAAAAGTTGATAAAAAGAGATAATTTTCGAATTTCTGACTCCACGATTTATCACCTCGCTGAGCCCAGAGTGTGTCGAGAGCTGATCTGCAGGAGTTACTGGAGACGCTTCGGGGCGTGATGCACGAGGACGCCCGACTGGTCAAGGGCGCCGCCGCCATGAGAGCCCAGCGCTGCTACGCCATCAAGAGCCACGTCAACGGCCTCCTAGACGTCGCTCGCAAGATCTACTCGGAGATCATCGACGACATCACGGGTGAGCGGGAGGGACTGAAATAGGCCAACGGGGATGGAGAAGGAGAGGGAGAGCGAAGGGGGAAGGAAAGGAAGGAGAGAGAGAGGGAGGGAGGAAGGGAGGGAGGGAAGGAAGGAAGAGAAGGGAAGGAAGAGAGGGAGAGAGGAGGGAGGAAGGGAGGAGAGAGAAAGAGAAAGAAGAGAGAAGGAGAGAAGAAAGAGAAAGAACGTGAAAGAGAGAGAGAGAGAGAGAGAACAGGAAAGTTTTTAATTGCAAAAGATTGTCATGAAAATATTCAAATTCTTACTGTGATACATAAATGATCACAGATTTTTTTGCCAGATTTCAATTCATACTGGCCAACAGGTCATCATTTTAGTAGAAATTTCCTCACATCGCGCTCCCCAAGTGGATCCTTCTCCCTCCTCGCACTCCTGTCCTAAAGCCATCATTTCCCATGTGGCATCTGAATCTCGGTCGTTAAAAGTTAGGTATTTGCAAGCGCAGTTAGTGGGCTACCGTGTAGGCGTCGCGAAAGGCTATTCATCTAAATACTATTGCTCATTACAATCTCTGTCCGACGCAGCCCACGTAGAGGAGCTCGCCAAAGACCACAACGTGGGCATGAGGGTTGGCCACAACGCCGCCCGCGGGTTTCATATCGCCATCCCGGTGCCGAAGAGGAAATCAGCGCCTAACCTGCCTTCCGTTTTTATCAAGGTGAGCTTTCTACATGCATACGTTGATATACGTGGCCAACACACGTTCGTATTGTTTTTTTCCTAAAGGACGGATGGCACTGACAGAAAGTGAAAGGTAATATCATCTTTGTGGCGCATGCCATAACATGCTATATTTTTCATAAAATGTTCCATCGTCACCCCCCCCCCCCTTAGGTGCAGCGAGGTCGAGGATGCATCACTTGCACGACAGAACATCTGTATTTGCTCGACCAACGATCCCGTGATACCCTCAGGGAGATACTCATCATGAGTAATGTGTAAGGACTCGCAAAAAGTACTTATTTTATGAGTTATGTAGGTGGTTGAAGGTGACAACGTAGTCTCCTGTTGATGGCTCTAGATAACTTTATTCCCTCTGTTGATTTAGTTACTTTTATTGTTCTACTAAATTCACATAACGCACAGCAAAAATGCATGCGAAGTGGCAAGGAGAGGTGTCATATGAATTATGTTCTTAATAATAGCTTTTAAAGTTTCAGTAGATTCGTGAGAAGCATTAGTCATATCATATTAAGAACCTACATTTTCTGTTTTCACATTCAGTTCACTCTCACTCCTTTAATATTCAATCATCTAGTTCTTTCCCTGAGTTCCATCTTTCACGTTCCCACACCGCCTTCGCAGGATCGTGTCTGAGATGCTGATAGAGGCGCGCGGGCGTATGGGTGCGCTGCATGGACTTGGAGAGGCCATAGCCACTTTGGATCTGGTGGTGTCCCTCGCCCACTCGGCCGCCCTCGGGTCCTGGGTCAGACCCGAGTTCTCCCGCGCCCTTGCCATTCGCTGTGGCAGGCACCCGATCCTGGACGTGCTCGCGCCTACCCCGCCCGTCCCCAACAACACGGTAAGAGCCCCACGACAGCGGTGTATTTACGTGGTTAATAGTATATGCTGGGATAATGGTTACCTTGATAGACATCGGAATGATCAGAATGACGATAGTGGTAGTAACCGTTTTGGGCTGGCCTTAGCAACCATAACATAAATGTTAGATTGTTAATAGTTACTGGAATGTTGTTACCTGAATTTGGGGTGTCAGTAGTAACAGCAATACACATGTTTGAAACAAAATTATTATCTCATCCTGCCGTAATTTCTAACTTGGTTACACGGTTTTATTGAATAATTCCAATTGCAATGTAAGCAAAGAGGTTTATCACTATGTTGTTTACATTAATAAATATTTCCCTCATTTTCTTTCCCAGTTCTTAAGCCCAGAGAGCCGGGTAATGGTGGTGACAGGACCTAATATGAGCGGCAAGAGCACCTACCTGCGGCAGATTGCCCTCATTCAAGTGCTGGCTCAGGTTTGTGTGTAGTAGAGTGCTGGGTATCCATGCATGTTTTCTGGCGTTGCCTTGGGTCTGTATGATTGCGAGTATATATGTACTTTCACTTATTGTTTACCTTTCAGGCTATATGCAACTCAGTGTATTATCTTATCCCAGGTATGTAGTTTTACAAATGTATACCTTGTTTTTCTTATTAAATCACTCCTTATCATAAAAGTTCAGCTGATTGTAATTTTTAAGTTACAAGCGAACACGCAGTCAAGCGGGTAATAGTTACTGACAGATAGGTAGTAAATAAATGGACAATCGGATATAAAACAACTTTTCGCTCCTTCCAGATTGGCAGTTTTGTGCCAGCAGAATTCGCGTCTCTCCGCGTAGTGCGTCATCTGTTCACTCATTTAGGTTCCGAGGATTCTCCAGAAAACAATGCCTCTACCTTCCAAGTACAGGTGAGTTAAGAAAGGCGGTAGGTTATAAAAGACGATTTGATTTGCCTTGTGACAACGATAAGCTTGTCGACGTTTCGACTTTTGACTGAAATCTGTGCTTTACAGGAGTCTTTTGAAAACTGATCTGGTTCTTTTTACCTAAACGTCTGCCCCTCTAACACCACCTTTCTTCTGTGTCACTTACTCGCACTCGTCTGAGATCTCCAAGGCCTCCCTTTATCCTCGACCACTGCCCTTTACTCCATAGCCATCCTCCCTTTTCTTTCCTCCTCTCTTTCCCACCACGCTCCTCCATCCCTATTACCTCTACAGTCCATATGATGCAATTGCTGTGCATAAAACGTTTCTCCGTCATCTCTATGGTCTTTCCGTTGTATTGATTATGTATTTAAAGTTCCACACCACCTCTACTGTCTTTATAATGTACTGATTCTACATATAAAGCTTCGCCACACACAACATT